AGATCAAGAGTCACATGCTGTACCAACTGAACCAGCCAGGCGCCCAACTTCCAGCCTGTCTTTTAATTCAGGCGAAAGATTCTGCCGGCACAGCGTCCTATGATAAAAGCTGAAAGGGCAGCCCTGCCCACCCAGACCAGTTTGAGCTCAACCGTGCAGATGGACCCTGGAGTCCCCGGCAGTTATCTCTACTTCAGCGTGATGCTAAAAATATCTACCCAAGAGGGAGCTGACCCTCATGAGTATAACATACAAGGTATGCATACGCACTTTCCCTTGACCTTATGCTCACCTCTGCCTACAATGACATAACTCCTCTTTCTGAATATTCACCCTAACCCTAAACAAAAGAAACCCACACACCCCTGCTTGGGAAGTCACAGCTTCACAAGTTACAGGTTTGGAAGTAATTCTCTGTGATCTCCTAATTTGCTGCAAGTAAAGTTTCCTTTCTCTGACTACTCGACCCTGAAACTCACTAAGGAGGGGACTCACATTAGCTCAGTTACAATTTCAGGCCCAATTTGGTGGCTAATTAACAGAGAGAGACCGAGCAAGTCACTTTGCATCTCTCTGATTCCCCTCATCTATCAAATTGGGATAAACTTCCCCAATCTCTACTTGCAAGAGTTTTGTTTTTTTTTAATTTTTTAATGTCTTATTCATTTTTGAGAGAGAGAGAGAGAGAGAGACAGCATGAGCAGGGGATGGTCAGAGAGAGAGGGAGACACAGAATTGGAAGCACGCTCCAGGCTTTGAGCTGGCTGTCAGCACAGAGCCCGATGCAGGGCTCGAACCCACAAACCGTGAGATCATCACCTGAGCCAAAGTCGGATGTTTAACCGACTGAGCCACCCAGGCACCCCATACTTGCAAGAGCTTTTTGTGATTATTCAAAATTGTATTCCTTTGCTGGATGTGACTTTTCTCTTTCAAAGCTGACTGGCTGGCTCAACATAACCTCTAGGCAACCTTTACTGAAATCTGGAATTGAAACGGTCATGCCGCCACCTGCCAGATGAGCGGCCAGGCACAGAGGACCAGCTGATCGGGGAGACACGCCAGCCTTTCTTGGAAAAGGAGAAGCCAGCCTTTCCAAGCACCTGTCTACAAGCACCCGGGGGAGTAGGGCAGAGAACCTGAAAAGCCAACCCTGACATCTCTACTAGCAGGTGATCGTTTGCACAAAGGATCTCTGTCATTTACATTTCACTTAACTCCTACGGACAAAAGCAGACAGGCAAAAGGCAGATTCCAAGCACTCAGTATATACAGAGCTGTGCTGGACACATTAGGGATCTTGCCGGGGTCTGAGAGGACTAAGGACCCACATATAGAACAACAGAAGAGTCCTTTACAGAGTAATGTGTCCACACATGCCTGTGCGTGGATCAATACTAATGACTGTCATTACTGAGTAAAGGAGTGCCAAATTTGATAGATCTGATGCAATCCGCATCAAAATCCCAGCAGGTTATTTTGAGGAAATAGACAAGATGATTTGAAAACATATATGGAAAAGCAAAGCACTCTGGAATAGTCAAAACAATCTTGAAAATGAGCAGAGCTAGAAGACATATATTACCTGACACCAACATTGACTGTAAAGCTTACAACCAGGACAATGTGGTATAGGTGGGAGGAGAGACAGATTGATTGAACAGAATAGAGTCCAGAAATGGATTCATACATATATGGTTAGTTGATAGTTAAAAAAAAAAAAAAAGCCAAGTCAAGTCAGTGGGGAGAGAAATATCTCTTCAATCAAAACTGCTGAGGGATGCCTGGCTGGCTCAGTCAGTTAAGCGTCCGACTTCAGCTCAGGTCATGATCTCACGGTTTGTGGGTTGGAGCCCCGTGTCGGGCTCTGTGCTGACAGCTAGCTCAGAGCCTGGAGCCTGCTTCAGATTCTACATCTCCCTCTCTCTCTGACCCTCTCCTGCTCACGCTGTCTCTCTCTCTCTCAGAAATAAATAAAACATTTAAAAAATAATAAAAACTTAAAAAAAATTTTTAAACTGCTAAAAAAGAGAAAGACAATTGCTGAAACAATTAGAAATTTACTTAGAAAAAATGAATCTTGACCTTTATCTGACCTTATTCACAAAATTAATTTGAGGTGGATCATGGATCTAACCTTAAACCTCAGAACCATAAAGCTTCTGGAAGAAAACAGAAGACTATCTTTGTGATTAAGATTAAGGAAAGACCCTTTGGGGAGGATACTAAAGGAAAAAGAAAACAACCCAACCCTGATAAAATGGCTTCATCAGAATTTAAAATGCCTGCTTTTTTTTTTTAATGTTTATTTATTTTTGAGGGGGGGGGCGTGCATCCAGGGAAGGGCCAGAGAGACAGGGACAGAGGACCTCAAGCAGGCTCCACACTGACAGCAGAAAGCCTGATGTGGGGCTCAAATTCACAAACTGTGAGATCGTGCCCTGACCCGAAGCTGGACACTTAGCCCACTGAGCCACCGAGGCGCCCCCATAATGTCTGCTTATCAAAAAACACCAATAAGAAAATAATCGACAAGCTGCAGACCTGGAAAAATATTTTTGCCATCATATAATAGAGAAAGGATTTATATCCAAGTCATGTAAAAAGCTCTTACAAATCGACACTAAAAATATAAACATTCCAATTACAAAGCAGGAAAACACTTCAACAAACACTTCACAAAGTAAGATACACAAATGGCCAATAAGCAGTTTAAAAAGTGCTCACTGGGGCTCCTGGGTGGCCCAGTCAGTTAAGCATTCAATTCTTGATTTCAGCTCAGGTCATTAAAAAAAAAAAAAAAAAAAAAAGTGCTCACTGTCATTAGTCCTCAGGGAAATGGTACTTACAACCACAGAGAAATACAACTTCATACATTCTAGTAATGAGGGAGCATAAGGCAAGCTGAGGGCGAAGCACAAGCTAGCACCCCCACCCCCACCCCGAGGTGGGATGTGTGTCATATTCCTCAGGCACTTCTGGCTGCCCAAGAACAAAGGAAGGGAAAGAAAACAAATGGTTAACTGACAGAGATCGCAGTCATGTAGGACAGGAGTCTCCATCAGTTTACAAGCGTCTTGATAAATTACAAGAAAAAGGCAATCTTATCAATAGACTAATCTCCAGAAACCTGTAGACTCAGTTTCCTGGAGCCCCAGCATCACCCTCCACTGCCATGTGGGGAACAAAGGCAAGAAGGAAATGGCAGGTAAATTAAAGTTCCTATTAACCTGCAGCCCGTTGACAAACACCTGAGGCAAATAGAGTATAACATTCCTCTCCAGGAACGCCCTGCCCTGCCGTCCCAATGTTAATGCCTTACTAGAGGGAAAACAACCTTAGCTGCACAAGAGCAAGCCCTCGGGTATCTTCGGAGTCCTGTGTAGCAGATCAAAGTCCCTCCGTAGGGCTCCCTTTTGTCCTTACCTGCCCCAACTTCCTAGTATATAAGCAGTCACTCTTGACAACCCCAGCGCAGCACTTCCTGCCCACAGTCCCTGTCCCTGTGCTTTAATAACATCGTCTTTTTGCAGCAAAAACATTCAAGAATTCTTTCTTAGTCGTCAGCTCCGAATCCCACGACCCCACCGTCACTCCAAAACCTCATCACTACTAGTAATGGCTAAAATCAAAGACTGATGCTCCAGTTAACTATTCCTGGGTATCTTATTACCCCCAAACTCTGTTTTGTCAACCGCTACAAATCATTTTATCTCTTACAACTTCTTTGGGTCAGGAACTCAGGATGGGCTTGGCTGGGTGGGGCTGGCCTGCATAGGGGGTCTTTCCTGCTGTTGCCATCAGTCGATGGCTGGCTGGATGTGGAAAGGTGGGGACTGGAGCAGCTGGGGCATCTCTCTCTCTCCCCTTTCACATAGTTTTAGGGTCTCTCCATGTGGTCTAGCTTGGGCTCTCTCACAGCATGGCAGCCCTGAGGTATCAGACTTCCTTCCAGGCTGCTGAAGTCTCCAAGGCTAACATGGATGCTGCCGATCACTTTGCAGCACTTAGCTAAGAAGCCACAGCCTCTTCCATGGGTTATAAGTGAGTCAACCAATCCACCCAGTTTGAAGGGGCATGGACTAAGACTCTGTCTCTTGATGGGGAAGAAGCAGGATTCTAGAAAAGCACAGTGGGATGAGAGATACTATTGCAGTCATTTTTTGGAAAATACAATCTGTGGTGGATGAGCCCCGGGAAGGGAAATAGATCACACCAGGCCTCGTAAGCTACACTAAAGTTCAGTTTCTGTTTTTGTTCTTTTTTGTTTTTTTGAGAGAGAGTGAGGACACGTGAGAGCCGGAGAGGGGCAAAGAGAGTGGGGGGACACAGGACCGAAGCGGGCCCAGCGAGCCGGATCCGGGGCTCGAACTCCAGAACTGTGAGATCCCGACCTGAGTCTGAGTCGAAGGCGGTCGCTCAACCGACTGAGCCACTCAGGCGCCCCTAAAGTTGAGTCTTGATAGGTACTGTGACGGGGACCCCACTGATAGGATTTAAGAGAGTGGAATTTGGCCAATTGTCTTGAAAAGTTCATTACAGCAGGTGTGCGGATAACGAATCTGTGAGGCCAGTTAGGAGCGGGGGGTCGGGAAGTTCAAGTGCCAGACATGACCGGGAGTCCGGCCTAGGTGAGGGCGCAGGGAGAGTGTAGGGGAAGGAGGTTTCCGCCCATCCAGCTGTTCTGTTCGAGGAAAACCATGGAGAAACAGGTTTGTTTGAGACGCGTTGGGCTTGCAAGGCGAGGATGGACGTACCGAGACTGGAACTTGGGAGATAAAAATTTAGTAGACAACCAACAGCATTTAAAAGCACAGAAGTGAACTTCTGCGTCAGCCCAAACCTTAGAACCTCTCGACTCCTCCCGCACACACCACGGACGGGCCCGAAGTCTCAAGCGGACTGAAAGGCGCATGCGTACACCTACGCCCCTGGGCGGCCCCTGAGCCCCTGGGCGGCAGCTTCCCGCTAGCGCGCAAGCGCGGTGTGCGGCGGTCGCCATGGAGACGCGTGGCTCTAGTCTGCCGCTTAGCTCCTGCAGCCGCCGGCTCAGCTGCAGCGGGTCTTGGGCTGCCCCGGGCCGCAGGTGGCGGCCGGGAGGGCGGATGGACTGCCGAGGGACCAGGGCGTCCGGGTACGGGTACGGTGAGGAGGGCGGCGGCGACGAGGAGGAGGAGGAGGAGGAGGAGGAGGAGGAGGAGGAGCGAGAGGGTGGCACTGCGAGCTCGCAGAGAGCGAAACTGCCCCCCATCGCTGACAAAGCCTCAGAACTGGGCAAACGGAAGGTGAAGAAGAAAAAGAAGAAGAAAACCAAAGGGTCGGGCAAGGGGGACGGTAAGAGGAGCAGCTAGCGCGGTGGCCTCAGCTCCTGTGCCAGAGTTTCTTCTCCAAGGTCACCTGTCCCCACTCCTCACAAAGATCCCTCATCTGCTTGCAGGACCACTTCGGAGCGGAAACAGAAACCCTCCAGTCCCAGACAGATCCTCCCACTTAACGCAACACAGTGATGCGCCGGCCCTACCCATAAAAGCCATACGTGTCCACAGAGACCCCAAATCCTGCATGGAGAATTCTCAACATGCATGGGGACCCTCTACCCGCCCCCCCCCCCGAGATCCCCAACATACCCAGTGATATTCCCGCAGAGCCTCCCAGGTCCACACAGCAACTCAGCTTTGCCCGGACATCCTCTCAATTGCCTGATCCCTCAGCTGAAACTCAGAATCTTAAACAGCCACACCTTGCCCACAGAAATTTCAAGCCCTCCTACAAGGATCCCCTTACACACACACACACACACACACACACACACACACACACTTTCCTCAATCCTAGGTACTAGGACACTAGTAACCAACATGCACAGAAACACAGGCTTTTGCCTTCTGTGTCATGCTCTCTGGGCACCTGCCCTCTAGATGTTAGACATCCTGTAAATGCATATAAAGTATCTTTCCTGCACAGACTGTCTTCCGCCCCCCGCCCCCCTCCTTAGGCAGGGCCAGCCATCAGCCACACACACACCGTCACACCAGTCACTCCTGCATACTCTTATAATCCCCAACTCCCTCAACGACAACCCCCTTATATCATTATAACCACCAAACAAAACTAAAGTACAGATACCCATCAGGCGCACCCTTTCCCAGCACATATATGTGTGTCTGCTACGACACACTCACATGCATGAACCCCACCCCACCCCTCGACGTTTCCTGGACACGTGACCATATGCACTCAGGTTCTCCAGTCTTTTTTTTTTTTTTTTAATTTTTAATGTTTATATTTGAGAGAGAAAGAGAGACAGAGCATGAGCGGGAGAGGGACAGAGAGAGATGGAGACAGAATATGAAGCAGACTCAGGCTCTGAGCTGTCTGTCAGCACAGAGCCCAGCGCGGGGCTCGAACTCACAAGCTGTGAGATCATGACCTGAGCTGAAGTTGGACGCCTAACCGACTGAGCCTTCCGGGCTCTCCAGTCTTATGGATGCCTCACATACACACACACCAGCACCTCCCACAATCCCACAGGCTACCTGTATCTCACGAAAGGCCTCTCGCAGAACCACCCATCCCCCCAGTTTCTCGAGACACTGAGCACCCACTTTAAGGAGAGTGCAGTGGTGACACAGAAGGCACGTGCCTTTGACTGCTAAGTCTCCGGTGTCACTTGTGAGGTCCCCCTCTGGCGCTCTGCCAGTCAGAGAGGCGGCTCTCCTTGATCCCGGCGCAGCAGCCCTGACCTGCAGGATGGTTAATCCTTGGTTCAAGGTCCTGGGCCCTGGCCCACTGCGTGCAGAGCTGGCACCAAGGCAGGTGGGAGGCAGAGGAGTGGCAGCCTTCTCCGTGTCACCCTTGTTTTGGGGGGAGGGAGCCACGGGAAGATGATGACGACTTCTTTGTATGGGATCTTCATGGAAAGGCAAGAAAGAAGTTTTGGAGTTTAGTCCAAAAGCCCCATGTGTATCTCTAAAACCAAATTGAGAAACTTCTCGTCTTTTTGGCTTAGCTTCTGACTCTAGACTTGATGGTGGTGTGTAACTCCTACCGTCAGCAGCGGACGCCAAGTTATTTTTGAGGAGTAGGAAGACACGGAAGTGTCCAGACGGGATTTTTTTTCCTTATTTTCTCTTTTTGGGGAGGGATTTCTGTCTCCCCAAAAGCAGAACGGTGAGCTGATGAAAGAGCCACAACTTAGAGTATTTTATATGAGTGTTCTACAGTTCAGAAATGCCATGAATAGAAGACATAGCAGAACAAGGCATGAAGCAAAAGTATTTCCTGGCTTGGCATAATACTGCTTTCCGCGGTCGAATGTAGAGAGCTTCTGTGTTCTTCTCCATTTCTCCCATCACGCAGAAGTCTGGACGAGGGGTAGAGTCATAGACTCCTGGAACCGGAGGGTACCTCGGTGGGCACGTGGGGCACGGATGGCATGGTGGAAAGACCAGCGCGCTGGAGGCAGGCCCGTGTTCCAGTCCTGGCCCTGCCACTCACTATGTGATATTACTTGAGTTAGACTTTTTTTTTTTTAAGTATTTATTTATTTATTTATTTAGAGAAAGAGCACGAATAGGGGAGGGGCAGAAGGAGAGAGGGTAAGGGAAGGGAGAGAGAGAATCCCAGGCAGGCTCTGTGCCATCAGCGCAGAGTCTGATACAGGGCTCGAACTCAGAAACCGTGAGACAGTGACCTGAGCCAAATCAAGGGTAGTCACTTAAGGGTCTCAGCCACCCAGGTGCCCCGTTAAATCAGACTTCTGGGGTCCCAGTTTCCTCACCTGGAAAATAGGGCTGATAGCTTTTATCAAGAGGACCTGGCCTATAGTATGTGCTCAATAAATGGTTCCTCCTTCCCCCCAAATGACCTGATGGAAAGCATGGAGCCAGTGGGTGTGTATGAGGCTGGTGGGCTGGGCTAGCTGAGCCCTAGGTCCCCAGCCTCGCCCCCCCCCCCCCCCCCCCCCCCCCCCCCCCTTACATCTTTGGTGACTTGGGCATCACAACCGGACAGGCAGCAGCCCGCACAGCGCTAACACCTTGCGTCTGCCCAGCAGATAAGCATCAGAGTCGCGGCCTGAAGCATCAGCAGCTGTCCTCCTCCTTCCATGACATCTTAAGTCCCGGCAGAGATCATGGCCCCAGGCCAGAGCGCAAGGCGGACAAAGCTGAGGGCAAGCCCGCCCCCCAGTACTCCTCCACCCGAAGCCTCCGCCCCGTCGCCGAGATGGAAGAGCACCTGTCGAAGCAGGTCAACGAAAGCCTGCGCTGGGACGGCATGCTCGCAGACCCGGAGGCAGAGAAAGAAAGGATTCGCATATATAAACTGAACCGCAGGAAGCGGTACCGGGTCTTGGCCCTGAAGGGCTTCTACCCCGACGCGTGCGCAGAGAGCCCCGGGGGCCGCCCCTGCCTCCCGGATAAAGACCGCGGCCCCGACGGCAGGAAAGCCGACCGCCCGGGGCCCTTCGAAGGCTCGCTCGCGCGCTCTGACGCGGCCGCCGCTCTGCCAGAGTGACCTCCACCCCCGCCGCCCCGGGCTTGCGCCTTGTCCTCACCACAGGTTTACGTGTTAAAAAAGAATAATAAAAGGAAATCAGAGCTCCGCCGGAAGGAAGCGGATGTCTGGTGTGTCCAGGCGGTCGGCCTCTCTGCTTCTGCCAGGCCTTGAACCCGCCCCCCCCGGGGAAGCCGCAGCCCCTTAACCTCAGCAGTGTGACGGACACGGCTGCTGCAGGATTTTTTTTTTTTTCCTCAGCTATGCTGGCATCTCTTTCTCACTTAGTTTCTCATCGCAGATGTCTGTAATCTTTCCCTCGGAAAGAGAAAGTGTGTAGATGATCCCAGTTCTAAATCTTAAACCAATGTACCGGCTAAAACACAGCATGCTTCTCTAGGCCCGAGAAAAGCGCCCCAAATATCCTGGAGTCTTCTTCTTTTTTTTTTTTTTTAATTACACACACTCCCTGCCCTGATGTGGTCTTCAAAATAACTGAGTTCCAGAACAACATCCCTGGGAGATAATTATGAGAAGTCTCAAAAGGAATATTGCTTCTCTTCTAAATATGCCCCTCCCAGAGAGCAAATTGCTGGGTGCCAGAGGGGAAGGAGCAGGGGGAGGGGGAAATGGGTGAAGGAGCCCAATTGCGCAGTGATGGGTGATGGTAAGCAGACTTGTGGGCTTGTGGTGATCACTTTGTAGTGTGGGCAAGTACTGAATTATAATGTACACCTGGGATGTCTGCAATGTTACATCACTTAAAATTTTACCTCACTTAAAAAAATATGTATATATAGTCCTCTAATCCCTTAAAACGGGATTTTAAGCAAACGGGACTTTAATTCTGGACCATTAAAAAGGCCTTTCTATGCTTTTTATCCTAAATTAATTAATATTCTTCCTTCTCACAAATACTCACTGAGTGAGGGCCATGTGTTGGGTTGGGTCCAGAAGTGGACCCTGAGACAAGGATGCAAATAGATTATTTGGGAGGTAACGGAAAGATCAGTAGAGAAGGCACAGGGAGGGACAGACCATTAGTTCGGGACACTTAAACCAGTTTCCGTCCTGGGTAACTGGAGCTTATCCCGCCCAAGTGAGGGAGCTGGGCTGTTCTACTGCCCATGGCATTGGCCGACGGGTGGTGCTGGGGTGGGGGTCGGTAGTTTCCTGGCATTTCCAGCCTACCAAACGTGTGGGCCTAGAAGCCCACTTTGGCTGGGGGCGCCGGGATCACCCGCAGGCACAGAGATGCAGACTGAGCGTTCCGAGGGATAGGGTAGTCTCTGAGCAACATAGGTAGGGCCCAAGAGGGTCAGAGCAGAGCTCTCAGGTCAGGTCCCTGCCTTCCGAGGAACTAAAGACCTGCAGTGTACTCGGGAAAAGTTGGAAGCCAATACAAAACATCACAATGCGTTTTTGAAAGGCAAGCGAGAGTGGTCATCTGGGTCGCTGTTAGCCCCCGCTGACTGAGCAACCCTCTTCCCGCCTTTGCTTAGATAGCTGCTTACAGAGTTCCCATTTGGAAGAGCCCCGTCCTCCCCTGGAGAGCCCCCCTGGCAGGGGCCCTCAAACAGACAGCAAAGGCCCTCTCTGTGTGGCTGTCCGGGTCAAAGGGCACCCATGGAGTCAAGTGAAGAGGAACAAGGGCTTTGGCTCGGCCCCAAGGGGAGGAGGAGAGGGCGCACCTGTTAACGCTCAGCCACAGGACCTTGCCCGACACCCCAGGGCTCAAAGTAAAGCCAGCAGAGGGTGGGAAGCGGGGCTGCGCCTCCTGTGGCCTCCGGGTCAACCAGAGTGGCTGGGAGCGCGGTGCACAGAAGGGCCTATGGGCTCAGGATGCCTTCGTCGCTTTGCATTGTTTTCTTTCCGTGGGTGGTAAGAGTGGGGATGGCCGGGGGTCCCCTTTCTGCTATGAGATAGTCCGGCGTAGTGGTGAAAATGAGGAGTTCTGACATCAGAGCTGAATTCCTCTCTTTCCCACTATATGTGCTGACTGTGTCACCTCAGGCCAACTGAGTGGCCTCTCCAAGCGTGAGTTTCCATATCTGGAAAGAGGGATGCAGGTACCCACCTCAGTGCTGTGAGACCCACATGCAATAATTACACAAAGCATTTAGCAAGCGCCTCGCGCCTAGGAAGCACGCAGGCCCCAGTAAGAGTTTTGAGCAGTGATATTTTGGGTGGGGGGAGCCCCACAGCTGATGGAGAGACCGTCCTGGTGATGGCGTGGAGCTCACCTCATCAAAGGGCGAGCTCCACAAAGAAACGGGGATTCAGTGGCTGGTCCACTCAGAGAAACCACAAAACAAATTTCTGGGGTGAAGAGAAGAGGGGATGTGGGAGGAACGAAGCCAGGGTCTCAACGTCTGGGGTTTTGGGGGCCTTGGGGCCAAACAAAAAAGTGCCAACGTAGAACTTGGAACCTTTTTATTATGGAGTTATATTCCATTGTATGAATATATGCCACAGACATTTCAGTCCCTGTTAAATGGACAGACACTGCAGTCACTTCATTTGGCTCTTGTGAATACAGTTGTCATGGATGGCTCCTTTTTGGACCTGTTTTCATTTCTCTCGGATAACTATCGCCTGGTATTTCATTGTGGTTTTATTTGGCATTTCCCTGGCATCTAATGATGTTGAACACCTTTTCATGTGCTGCATTTTACATCCAGGTATCTTCCTTTGTGGAGTGTCTGTTCAAGTCCCTTGCCCATTTTTAAAAAAACTATATATTTTTTAATGTTTATTTTTGAGAGGGAGAGCGTGCGAGCAGGGGAGGGGGAGAGACAGAGAGAGAGAGAGAATCTCAGTGCAGAGCCTGATGCGGGGCTCAAACCCACAAACTGTGAGATCATGAGCTGAGCTGAAATCAAGAGTTTGACGCTCAACCGACTAAGCCACCCAGGGGCCCGCTTGCCCATGTTTAACAGGGGTATTCATCTTTTAATGTTGCCTTCTAGGAGCTCTTTGTATATCCTGGATATATAAGTCTTTTGTCAGGTGTCAGTCTTTTTTTACAGTCTGTGGATTACCTTTAATTTTCTTAAAGGAGTCTTTGAAGAACAGCTGTTTATGGATATATAGAATTTGATGTATCTTTGCTTCAGATTTTCTATTTCATTGTGTCAGTTTGGTAAGATAAGTTTGTCGAAGGAATTCTCCTCTTTAACTAAGTTGTCAAATTCATAGGCATAAAGTTGTTCCTAGTATGACCTTAGTACGCTTTCAGTGCCTGTGGGGCCTCTGTGCCATCATGGCGTTGGTGATTTGTGCTATGTCCTGATCAGTCTAGCTAAGGTTTATCAGTTTTTTTCAAAGAATCAAAATTTTGTTTTTAAAATGTTCACAATTATGGATCTGGTTCAATCTCATCAGTAGGAATCATTATTATTTCCTTCTTTCTTCCACTGCAGGTTTCATCTTTTTCTAACTTCTTAAGGTGGAAATCTCCATAAGGGGGGTGGTAGGGGTGGGGCTGCTCCCCGCAGTTACTAATCATTGGGGTTACTTCCGGGTCCCTTTTTCGTTCTTTTAGCCTTCTGACATCTGTGTGATCAATCCTCTGTATGAAATCCCATCTGCTGGAAATATCTAGTATGATTTGGGCCTTGTTGACTGGACTCTGATTGTCACACACAGTCTATACTAGCATTTCTTAAAGTGCATTTCAAAAAGCATTAGCCCTATGTTCTTTAGTCCTTCATTAGTGTAGGAAGTGCTCATGGGTTCTCTGGTCCAATGAGTTTGGAAAATGCTACATCCTAGATTTTCCCTATTGAAGATTCTCCATCCACATTATCGTATTAAAGGCTAGAATAGTTTGTTGCACAGCAGATATCTGCTCCTCGCCACATTCATGGGAGAGTATGGTTCCCTGACCCGCTGATGTTAGGGCTGACCATGCAACTTGCTTTGGTCAATAGAACATGCGTGGAAATGACTGGGCGGCAGTTCCTAGGGCAGGCTTTAAGAGGTTTTGTATGTTTCTATGTGCTCCTCTGGGATCTTTTGACCTCTGGCATGAGAAGAATGTGCCCCCAAATAACCTCTCTAGCCTGCTTCAGAGACAAGTGGCATGAACCTGAGCTTAACAGCTAACCTTGGCAGAACTGCCCTATCAGACCGATAAACTTTTACGCAAGAAGTTAATGCAGCTGTGTGCCACTGTGCTTTTGTGGTTGGTAAGCAGCAAAAGCTGACTAATGCAGGTGTTCTAAACACTGGTGGGGTTTTTTTTTTTTAATGTTTATTTGTTTTTGAGAGAGACAGACAGAGTGCTAGTGGGAGAGAGACAGAAGGAGAGGGAGACACAGAGTCTGAAACAGTCTCCAGGCTGTGAGCTGTCAGCACAGAGCCCGACGCAGGGCTCGAACCCACAGACTGTGAGATCATGACCTGAGCCAAAGTTGGACGCTTGACTGAGTCCCCCAGGCGCCCCATGCATGCAGGTGCTCTAAGAAGCCCTGCAGTAAATGTATGTGGCATTTTCAGCTTTTCATTTTCCCAACCTTTTTTTTTTTTTAAATGTTTATTTATTTTGAGAGAGAGAGAGAGAGCAGGGAAGGGGAAGAGAGAGGGGGAGAGAATCCCAAGAGGGTCCATACTGTCAGCACAGACAAAGCCCAATGTGGGGCTTGATCTCACAAACTGTGAGATGATGACCTGAGCTGAAACCAAAAGTTGGAAGCTTAACTGACTGAGCCACCCGGCATACCTTCCCAAACTTATTTCATCATAGAACCTTATTTTATTCCATAGAGCGCACTCTGGGGAGTAGTGTCATGAACAAAACACTTTGTAGTGTCTATACTCTAAGACAAAATTATTAGAATTTAATTTTGAGGGGCGCCTGGGTGGTTCTGTCGGTTGAGCGTCCAACTTTGGCTCAGGTCATGATCTCATGGTTCGTGGTTCCAGCCTCGCGTCGGGCTCTGTGCTGACAGCTAGCTCAGAGCCTGGAGCCTACCTCTGATTCTGTGTCTCCGTCTCTCTCTGTCCCTTCCCTACTTGCCTCTCTCTCTGTCTCTGTCTCTTTCTCTCTCTCTCTCAAAAACAAAACATTAAAAAAATAACTTTGAAAAGAGGCATTTTTTTGCAATATGATTTGTTACTGAATCAATAAACTCATTCACTTTTCACATTTCTGGGAAATATACCAAAAAGGCTTCCTAAGATTTATCTTATTATTAGGGGCACCTGGGTGACTCAGTCAGTTAAGCATCTGACGCTTGGTTTTGGCTCAGGTTGTGATCTCACAGTTTAATGAGTTTGATCCCCACATCGGGCTCTGTGCTGGCAGCACAGAGCATGCTTGGGATTCTCTCTCTTTCTCTCTCTCTGCCCTTCCCCTCTCACGGTTTCTCTGTCTCTGAAAAATAAACTTTAAAAATGTTAAAGAAAAAGGATTTCTCATATTGTTAATTACATCTACTACTTTTTCTCAAGATACCAGCTTAATCTGATACGCTCAGAAAGGTATTTTTCGAGGGAAACTTGAAACATTATTAATTTCAACATGTATTTGCTTCTCTCTCCACACACACATACACGCGCGCACACACACACACACAATTATAGCTTTAATTTTACATACTTTAAATATTTTTCCAACAAAACCTTGGAACTGCTATTAGCTCACTCATTTTATGGGAAATTTACACTATATAACCTAAGTGGCAATATTAGTTCTTGTTGTCATCCCTACCAGCCAAATTAGACTTCATTTCTGTTAAAAAGAGACTGGCTTTAAATATATGTATAGGATATGACAGTATATAAATGATAATATGCATTCCTGGGACATACTTGAGTTGTAAGTGCTTTATCTAAAGCACAGAGTCTTGCCGTGAATTTGACACTTGAATGAAATAAGATGCCTTCACATTTCTTATCAACTCTCTTTTCTTATCAACACTTTGCTCACAGGGACTGTCCTTCAGGGAAGACAATAGTCTTGAGATTGAAGAGATTGTGGGTATTAAATCAATAGTGTCATCACTTCAACTGCCTCACATTATGAGACATCAGAAGGAAGAACTTCCCAACAAAGGCCAATCTAGTTTCTGCTACCATACTTCGTTCTTGACAAAATTATGTGTAGGACACTGACAGACATGAAGCCCCACAGTGGGGTCCTGGGGCCCCGACACCGAGGTTTCTGTCCCTTTGTCTAGTGCCTGTGGGTTTTTCCAGCCCAGCCCAGAGCAGCACCCCACCATAAAATTAAGATGTGTTAGACTAACACGTGTATTTCTTCCGTAAAATGGGAGAGAGGTAATTTGGGTTTTGTAAACTTCTTAAATGTTTTATTATTTATTTATTTATTTATTTATTTATTTATTTATTTCTGAGAGAGAGAGCGTGAACAAGGGAGAGTCAGAGAAGAGAGGGAGACACAGAATCTGAAGCAGGCTCCAGGCTCTGAGCCGTCAGCACAGAGCCCGATGCTGGGCTCGAACTCATGGACCGTGAGATCATGACCTGAGCCGAAGTCGGACGCTTCACCGACTGAGCCACCCAGGCGCCCCGAGAGAGGGAAGTTGAAAGGGGAGGGGTGGAGGAAGGACTGGTCCGGTCACAACTGCAGGGCAGATGCAGGATAGGACACACTGAATTTGGGAACAAATTCCCTAAACCTGCCTGTCCCTGTGAAATCTTGTTCGCCCAGGGGAACGCACCCTCCCAAAGGAGACAGGATACGGTTAAAGCACAATCCCAGCTTAACGTTTCTCAAGAGAAGGAGCTGTTTTTCTCCTGTTTCTTCATCAAAACGTTACAATTTTACTTTGAAAAAGAGAGGCATCTCTAAGTTCTGTTTCTTTAAAGATAATTTATTGTTAAATGAAGAAGTCACAGAGCAAAATGGAATGGGACAGATGTCAAGATAAATTTAAAAAGGAGTTTTTGTCAAATGCTATTCTGGATCTCCTAAGGTTAGAAACAGGAAGGGAGTCCAAGGAAAAGGTAATCATTCTTTTTAAAAGGTCTGAATTGGAAAAGAAAACAACTTTTCTCTGAACATACAAATCTTCCTTATTACATGAAAACTATAATTTAAGAGACTGGGAAAAAAGACTTCTTTTTTAAAAAAGTAGGCTCCATGCCCAGCGCGGGGCTCAAACTCACGACCGTGAGATCAAGAGTCGCATGCTCTTCTTACTGAGCCAGCCAGGCGCCCCAAAGACTTTTTACTTAAGAAGTAAACTGTATCTCTCAGACATGCTCAGGAATGTTTGGTTTTAATGAGCAAAATTTAAAAACCATTGTGTCCACCTTGTAAACTAACACTAATCACCGATGATCAATGTCATTGGATCCACCCTACGTGTCCCATCGCATCTTCATATGCTTCCTTTCTTGCAACTTGCAGAAAGCAGGTTTGAAGAAAAAGAAAAGACGAGAGAGAACTACAGTTGGTTCCCTGGTGAATGACTTAGGATACAAGCTGCTTTCCCACTGGCATTCTACGTTCACAATCGCTCCCTTCTACTTACTTTACTGATATTATTCAGATTCTCTCACCTAGACCGATTTGCCCGAACTTAACCCAACCCCCAAAACAAAGACATCTCACGTGGACATCCCAAAACGTGGCCGTGTTCAAAGGCTAAGCTCTCCCACGACTCTGCTGCCATGCTGCCCACCATATTGTCCTGAGCTCACCCAAGTGTCCCCGCTGGGCCAGAGCAAAGCCTTGGGACTTCTCTTAATGCAATTTAAAAATTACCTTTACCTCTCGTCTTCAATGATAAGATTATGAAATCAGAGAGAAAAATCCATTTTTGTCAAGAGATGCCAGGTAATTTTACTCTTCCAAAGGCAGACGGCATTTGTCACTCTGCACGACGAAGGGGTGTGTGGAGTCCGAGGGTCCCCTTGACGGGTTCCTGCTTGCTCAACTTCACTATAGCACACTCAGGGCCACAGACCCAACTGAGAGATGTGGCCAAACAGTTATGGGCACGACGGGCTAAACATTGTTAAAGCGGAAGAGGACGCCCGGCAGTTTGGCTCTAGAGGCTTCCAATGACTTTAAGGGAGAATGAGTATCATCACGCCTGCTCTCCTCAGTACAAAGATCCCTGCTATGACTCCAGGGTACTTACAGAGCTCTCAGGACACACAGAAGCCATCAACAGAAACCCAAAGATACGGTGGGAATCCAGGTTTACGATACACTATAACCATTGAGCACTCGAGAGAATGTGGATGTATTCAAAGGAAATATCCATGGAATGTTCTTTCCAATATTGGAAGAAAAACAGCCATCTGCCACTTTCTTTACTCAAAAATGTTGGGGATTGGCAGGAAGAAGTACAAGCTGGGGCAGGGGGGAGGCAGGGTGGGCAGGGGGCTGAAGCCAGAGACAGCCTGGCCCTCCGCACCCTCTGGCCCATCCGCCATTTCCGCTTCTGAGGCCACTTCGGCCGAATTCACGAAGTATCTTCCATCCGCACCTAATGCCCTGACTGTCACACTAAACTAAGCGCTTAAGAGAAAGATGTGCCATTGCAACAGTGCCCAAGTTTTGAGAGTTTGACTTGTGACATTAATTCCTATCCTGAAGTCACCTTTCCTTCACCTGGAGTGGGGGTTGGGGCGATTTTCTTGCTGTTGGGCTTAGACCTAAGGCACTGGAGGATTCCTCTGCAGTGCTGACGCCGTCAAAGTCCTAAAGGCAGTCCTAAAGGCAGTTGACCCGGGGTCCCTGGAGAGGACACCCACCCTGATGAAACAGATTACCAGAAACATCTACCTCTGCCCCCTCCCAGACAGCAGCAAGGCCTGGGTGTGGCCGTCCTTTCCCACTGTGAGCAGAAGCCCCTCGCGGAGTCCCCAAAAGTGGTTTCCCTAAGCATTCTTTAAAAATGCTGTTTCTCTCAAAAGGGCTCTCTGCTACGTTCTGCCTTATGAAAACATAGGAAAGTATTTGGAAAGCCCAAAATACATATCAGAAGAGTTCCACAAGCCTGTGGAGACATCAGCAGATGCCAAGGGTTCAAGGCGCATTGCCAGAGCCCAAGCTTGGAACCAGTGGGTGGAAGGAACCAGAACTGAAGCTGCTGTTCTCAAGCTGGCCGCTGTTGACCTGACTCTCCTGAGAGGTCAGAACACGGGGAAGCTTTTCTTTCTTTCTTTCTTTTTTTAAAGCATCTTATATTGTGGTCTGGGTTTCTTTTTCTTTCTTTCTTTCTTTCTTTTTTGATATCATGAAAAAGATTTCGAGAATTCCAAGAGTTTTTGGTGAACAGGAAACACAAATGGAAATGGGAAAAAAATACGGCACGGAACTCGGTTGTCCACAGACTGAACCCACATGGATGTCACAGCTTACTGAATGAGCACCGCTCTCGGGGAACACCTCGGGCCGAACGGCTCCAGACCCCCTTGCCCCACCCCGGCCTCCCCCAGGCCAGCTGGCCAATGGAAGAAGAGCTCGCTCCTCCCTCCCGATTTCAAACTGGGGCCCTTTCCCTTTTGCTCCAGTTGGCTTCCTGTTTTCTCATCAAACTGAGACTTTGGGGACACCAGGCAGCAGCAAACTAGCAATATACTCCTTTTAAAAGTAATTTGACCCTTTTTAAAAACCGAAAATTCTCTCAATGGTTCTAAGATGATGCCGTGACATTTTTTCCTTCCCCGGGCCGGGCTCAGAGGCATGTGGAGGACAGACTCCTCTGGGGCCTGAGCTGCACTCGGAGGCGGCGGAAGAGCTGGTCCAGCCCCACCCGGGCTTGAGTCAGCACTCATCCGAGAGGCAGTCGCTGCCCAGGAGCTCCGTGGCCTCAAGCTCCACGCTGGACAGGAATCTCCTCAGCGTCTTGCGGCAGTTGTAATCCAGAGTGGTGGTGTAGATGGTCTTGGGGTACTTGGGGTAGACGATGGTGGTGCTGAGGAAGCGGGTGGGCTTGTGGCGGGGTTCAAAGCGCACCTCAGCCTTGTAGTTGCGCCAGGTGCAGTTGGGGATGCAGACGACTGTCTGGCTGCAGGAGGCCATGGCCAGGCCCAGGGGCAGGTGGACATCGTCAATGAAGTGCCGCTCTGAGTCATACTTGACCGAGGACGTGTACCTGGGAGGGAGATACAAGGCAGCATGAAGCCGTTTCCCTTGAGCTTGGGGCTCAGGGATCCCTACTGTGACCTTGAGCCTCTCGTGGGGTGCGAACCTTGAGCTGTGGCTACTCTGGTCAGAAGCAGCAAGGAGTTGAAGCACTTACTGTGTGGGACGGTTCTAAGTACTTCACTTCCAGGATCTAATTTATCTGAACCAACCGCTCTGGGAGAGGAAATGGAAGTGCAGAGGTCAAGGTCACGGTGGGAGTGAGTAGCGGGGCTGGGGTTTACATGCAGGTGTGCGAGATCCCACAGTTTACCCTGCATGTGCTGTTTCCCATGGCGGGCAGCAGCCCCGGGTCCAAGCCCACGTGTTTAAGCTAGAAGAACTAGGTCAACTTGCATCTCTTTTCTGCGAAGGTGCCCGGTAACGGAGCAGAGGGTTAACACATAGCAAGTGCTGCTGGTGGTATAACAAGGTGGATTCTACCGCTTCACTAGGGGTGAATGGTTGGTATTCTCTGTCCCCTGAAGTCACCAGCACCTAGCTTGCTTCCTTCCTTCCTTTTTTTTCTTTTTAATGTAAGTTCTATTCCCAACGTGGGTCTTACACTCAGGACCCTGAGATCAAGAGTCACATGCTCTACTGACTATGCCAGGCGCCCCCACCATCGGCTCTTTGATGAGAGGATGATGGAACCCAGGAACCCTGAATGCTGTTCTGAAAGTTCAGTGATACCAGGTACTAGTACTTGGTCCAACCCTGGCCTTCAGTTTGGAGATGCCCTCAAACCAGAAACTCTGAGATGAGTCCTTATCAATCAAAGCCAATTACAGTCTCGATTTCAATAAAATAAATTAACATCCATACTCTACTTTTGTTAAAAGTCCTTCTTTGGTAACTTGGAACCTACCTTTTATTCTTTTCTTTCTTTTTAATAATTTTTTAATGCTTATTTTTTAAAATGTTTTATTTATTTCTGAGAGAGAGAAAGAGACAGTGTGAGCAGGGGAAGGTCAGAGAGAGAGGGAGACACAGAATCTGAAGCAGGCTCCAGGCTCCGAGCTGTCAGCACAGAGCCTGACACGGGGCTCGAACCCACGAACTGCGAGATCATGACCTGAGCTGAAGTCAGACGCTTAACCAACTGAGCTACCTAGGCGCCCCTCTTTTCTTTCTTTCCCTTCCTTCCTCCCTTCCTTCCTCCCTTCCTTCCTCCCTCCCTCCTTCTGTCTTTCTTTTTCTTTCCTTCCTTTCTTTTCTTTTCTTTTAATGTAAGCAAAGCATTAATTCATTTTACTAAATAATTATGGCAGCTTCACAGATCTTGAAATAAGAATGAGCATCACATAGCATTGCCCCCCCCCCCCCCCCCCCCCCGGGGCCCCCCCCCCCCCCCCCCCCCCCCCCCCCCCCCCCCCCCCCCCCCCCCCCCCCCCCCCCCCCCCCCCCCCCCCCCCCCCCCCCCCCCCCCCCNCCCCCCCCCCCCCCCCCCCCCCCCCCCCCCCCCCCCCCCCCCCCCCCCCCCCCCCCCCCCCCCCCCCCCCCCCCCCCCCCCCCCCCCCCCCCGTCGGGGGTAAGAATTATCATTCTTTTCAATGGGGAGGATGGAGACATCTATTCTCCTTAGGCAAGTAGGTAAGAGGCTGGTGCAAGCTCATGTCATGAAGTCATGTCCTCATTTCGTTCAAAATACAAGCTCCCCAGGAATCAAGGGCTGAAGCGCTCACCTCCACACTGGTGAGCTGCCTTTGTTCCCCATCAAAGGGCCCTTTGTTTTTAAGGGAACTGAGACTCCAGCAAAAAATCCACCAGCTACCAAAAGTAAAATTCCTTTCTCTGAAAAGACAGATCTTTAACAGAGGCTCTCAGTGAATCTCTGCCCCCAGGTGATCCTGGATGAGATACATTCCCAGAGGAAGGATGGTGCTTCAGATTACAAGTGAAATTGTAATCGGAGACAAGGTTATAGCACCCTGAAGCAGGGGTGGGGAAACGGGGGAAGCAGCTTGTGAAAAGAGGAATTATTTTATTACAAAATCGTAACTGTCTGATGGCCATGGTGCACGAAGTGCAAAAAGCAAGTCGCGGACTTTATGTATAACACGATCTGGTTTTTGAGAGGCATGTCTACGTATTCAATTGGTGAGACTAGGCGAAGAAATCCAAAGTGGTACCCAGCACACTATGAAAAGCCTTTGGCACACTTCTGTGATTAGCTCCTTTTTTAAAGTAACAAGCACCAGTTTCTGGCTGGACCCAAAAATCGAAAACTGGAAAAAACTCAACCAAAGCAGGGCCTGCTAGATTTACCTTATTTCCGTCGGCGGTAAGGGGTCAAACTCCACTCCTTCGCCAAAGGACAGGGGGCAGAGCCTTGGCGAGCAGGCGAAGGCCAGGGGGCTGGGGGGAGATGCTGGATTCTGGGGACAGAGAAGGCAGTTAGACCACAGGCCAGTCGGATGCACCCCCCCCCACCCCCCAGGGCGGTCCTGGCTCTGAGCTTCCTGCTGGGCCCGGCTGCAGTCTGTGTCCTCCCCGTGGCCACGATGCCGATGCCGGAGCAGGGCCGCCCCCCAGCCGGGGGGGCGCCTGCACGGGAGCCAAGAGGTCCGGGTCGCATCCCATGCCCCGTTACCTTATCTGCACACCAAGGGGGTACCCCCTTCCATCACTGAGGTTTTGTGAAAGGCTGAGGAGCTCAGCGTCATGATGCCGGCCAGACCCTGGGGCTGCTGCGTCATCACACGGTTTAAGGCAGTGAGGACGCCTCGACGAGCTGGGGCTTCACTAACCAGAGCCCTCAATTACGTGTCCCTCAACCCTGTCATTGTGTCAGCCATACTTTAGAAAAGGCCAAAACAGGGGCGCCTGGGTGGCTTAGTCGGTTAAGCGTCCGACTTTCGCTTAGGTCATGATCTCGCGGTTCGTGGGTTCGAGCCCCGCGTCGGGCTCCGTGCTGACTGCCAGCTCAGAGCCTGGAGCCTGTTTCAGTCTGTGACTCCCTCTCTCTCTGACCCTCCCCTGCTCACGCTGTCTCTCTCTCTCCTAGAAATAAATAAAACATTAAAAAATTAAAAAAAAAAAAAAAAAAGAAAAGGCCAAAACAAAACAAAACTCTACCAGGAATTTTTTCACACTCCAGATTCAGGCCAACCTCCCCGTCGCCTTCTCTGCCTCTGGGACTGTTAACAACCACCCAAGACCGGGAGGCCCACAAACTCACTGGTAAGACGAACACCCCAAGTTCTCGCCGCCACCGTCCACCATTCAGAAGCCAGAGCACAGCATTCCTAGAGGCTAACTGGCTTCTAGCATGTATCAAGCCCCAAACTTTGATCCATCGAGTAGCCTGAGTAAGGGGGACGGTTCTGTCCTAGATGCAGGTGCTAGTTTTCACCCCATGTGACTGGAACTGGGCTTCTGTGTTAAGTATTCAAGGGGAGCAGCCTTTTGGGGTGTTGGGTTTACTGGCAATCTATCATTTTCTTTGCCTAATTTAAGAGTACAAGCCACACTCTGGCCCGGATGTGGAGGCGGGGGCCCCGCCCTCACATCTTCCAGGATAGAGAAGGAAGGGGACATTTTTAGAAGGTAGGCTCCAAGACTCTTCTCATGTTGCCAGGGCAGAGTGTCCAGTGAGGGTGTAGGGTGGAAACAGAGGAGTCAAAGGGGGCCACGGTAGGTGAGGGAGGGGCGAAGCGTCCAGCTCCTGAACTTGGGTGGAGAGTTTAAGAAGCCCTGGCTGGCGGAGGGGCCACGGTTGGGAACCAAGGTCAGTGGGTGGGGGTGGGGGGGTTGTTTCCGCAGTCTCTGCTGCAGATCTGGGGAACGAGCTCCCAAGCAGTGGCGGGGAGCCCTGCTCTGTCCCCAGCCCTCTGAGTACCAGACGCTCCTCAACCTGGGGAGCGCCTCCAGGCAGCGCTGGGGGCTTCGGCCTGGCAGCAAGCTGGCAGCAAGGGGAGGTGGTTGACTCTCCAACACTCACACTGCCGCCAGGAATCCACACAAGTGCTCAATTCTCTTGCCCCTGCTTTCTCGGCTCCCTCATCTCCATCCACTCAGCAGACATTCCCTGAGCACACCGCTTGCCCTGGGTCCAGGCTGGAGATGTTGCACATAGCAGGGGTTCCAAGAGCCACATGGATAAGGTGTCACCAGGGAACGGGGACCACACCACTGATTTGGGCATGGCCTGGGGGGGAAGCATCAAGGAAGGCTTCCCAGAGGAGGTGACAAGTTGGGCTTGAAGGGCCAGCAGGGCTCTGATAGGTCAAAAAGGCAGCTGGTGGGGCGCCTGGGTGGCTTAGTCGGTTAAGCGTTAAGCGTCCGACTTTCGCTTAGGTCATGATCTCGTGGTTCGTGGGTTCGAGCGCCGCATCGGGCTCTGTGCTGACTGCCAGCTCAGAGCCTGGAGCCTGGAGTCTGTGTCTCCCTCTCTCTCTGACCCTCCCCTGCTCACGCTGTCTCTCTCTCTCTCTCTCTCTCTCTCTCGTAGAAATAAAATTTTTAAAAAAACATTAAAAAAAAAGGCAGCTGGGTGTTGGGGAAGGTAGGTGGGAATAGGCTCTGAGGGAAATGGCATGCCAGGTAGAGGGGGCAGCATCAGGGGCACCAATGCATGTATCTGCCTCTGGTCAGGGGGTGTGCCAGACAGCAAGGGTTCTGAAGGCCAAGTTGAAGCAAGCGCTTCCTTCCAATAGAAATGCCCCCATGCACCAAGGTCTCAGAGAGTCAGTGGGTAGAGACTTCTACGCCCATCAAAGTGCATGGGTCTTTAAGGAACAGCGCAGCCACGGACTACTTCATCCCTGGGAAGAGCGCTGTAAATACCCACCCCTATGGGGAAGGGAGGGGGGCTGAGAGCCCCACTTTGGGCCTTGGCTGTAGACAGGATGTGGCTTCCCCTGAGCTCTAGGGAAAGACAATAAACACCACCTGAGCGATTCCTGAGGCAAAAAAGACTAGGTGTTTTTGTCTTTAAGTACAAATTCTGAAATAAAATAAAAGGACTCCTTTTTGAAAGTTTCCACCCACCTAACGGTCTCCCACCCACCGCGTGCCAGACAGGTTATGTGACAGGAAACCGGGGGGGGGGGGGGGGCGGACACAGGAGGCCAGAAGTTCATGGGGTAACTTTTTCCAAAGACCCTCCACCATGCCAGGAACATGGTCCCCAAAGGCTGCCCCCCCCCCCCGAATCAGGGAGCTGAAGCACACCCTTCTCCCCAAGACCAGACAGGAGGAGCCAGGCCCTCGGGAGGCGCCCCCGTAAGGGCAAAGCCCGGGGAAGGGGGGGAAGGGTGCGTGCCAGACCCACAGTACAGAGAAGGCTGGGGTTCCTTCTGGGCGTCCCGGGCCCCTCTCCAGCCGGGCCGGGCAGGAATGTGGCCCAGTCGTAGACTCGCAGTTCCGGGGGCCGCCACCCCAAAGAGAGGAGGCGGCGACGCGCCTCTCCCGGGGCTCCCGCGCCTCCCAGGCGATGACAATTTTCCAGCCACCCGCTCCAGCTGGCCAGGCTCTCGCCGCGCTCCCGCCCCGGGCTCCCGGCGATGGCCACGCCGTCCCGACGGGCGGGTGGCGGCGCCGACAGCGCGCCCCGAGCGGGCCGGCGCGGCTGGCCGGTGGTCCCTCGGGAACCGGCTGCGGGTGGGACGGGGAGGGAAGGGGCCGGAGCGGGGCCACTCACCGGGGCCGCGGGGGTCGCCGCCGCGTCGGACTCCAGCGTCCCGGGTGCCGGCGCGCGCTCCCCGCCGCTGCCACCGCCCCCGGCCGCGCCGAGCCCCCAGTGGCTGGGGCTGGGGCTGGGGGGCAGCCCCGAGTCCGGACTGTCCAGGACGCCGTCGCCCTTCTTCTTCGTGTCCACGAGTTCGGGCACATCCTGCAGGCTCAGCCGGCCCACCATGGCTGTCGGCGCGCCGGGGCCGGGACGGGGGACCGCGGGCGAGCGAGGGGCGCGAGGGGCTGACACGCGGGCCGGGGCCGCTGCCCGCGCGGCCACCCTCCCTGCCGGCTGCCCGCGCGCCGTCCGGGTCTCGCCGGCAGCCGCGCTCCCGGCCCCGCCCTCCGCCCCGCCCCGCCCGGCGCGCGGGGCCCGACCCGCACTCGCCGAGCTGCGAGCCCCGGCGCCAGGGGCCGCTGCGCTCCCGCCGCGCGCCGCCCGCGCTGCGCTCCGCACCGCGGCCCAGCCCGCCCCCAGCGGCCGATGCGGGCGCGCGGGGGGCGCCGGGCGGGCCTCGCCGCGGAAGGAAAGGGCCCCCAGCCCCGAGCGGCCCCGCGCCCCGCTACAGGGGGACACGGGGCCCTGCTCGCACCAGGCTCCCGATGGCGCCTTGTTCCCTGGCCCTGGCCGCGTAGAGCCTGGCGGGCGCTAGTCCTGGCGGTCGGGGGAGCCAGAGTTGAGCCCCGGCCCGCAGAGGCCTGGGGAGCCGGCCGACCCCGGCGAGCAAACAACTGGAAATTATTAATAGTTAATGCGCTTCGTATGGCTCCAGCCGCCTCTTGGCTCAGCAGGGCGGGCTCTCAGTGTTTCTCTGGCTCTCATTTCTGCCCCGGAGGAAAAGAGGACCCTACTCCCGGTATCCTCGCGGGATTCCGGGGGGGATGGCGGGGGTGGGGGTGCCTGCGGGGGGGGGGGAGGTGGCACACACCACTCGCTGGACTGGCTGCTCAACTGAGCAGGCTGTGACTACACCAGACAGGGAGATTCTGCAGTGGGCACAGACCGAAACCTTGAAGGACATGAACAAGCTAGCAGGCTGCCCACGGACTATCCCAAGAGGCCAGGGGGGTCCCTGGGTGGGGGTGGGGAGGGTGCACAGCTTCTCATTCCTAGGAGTTCCTTTCCAAAACCCAGACTGGGGGATTCCTCCTTTCTCTGGTTTGACAGAGAGGCCCTTATCCGAGCGGGAACTCAGTAGCTGTCAGCTGTAGCTGTTCTCAAATCTAGTGCTTTTGCTCACAGAGACCTCCGTGATTATCAGTTCAGTATTAGAAGCTCTCACCCCCACCAGCCACCCCACCCTGGGACTTTCTGCTGGGTGTTTAGCTCAGGGCCTCAAGCAGGAGATGTGCCCAGACCTAGCTGGCAGGTGTCAGCTCTGAGAGGACGTGTGTCCTGGCTGAAGGAGAGGTGGGCTCTGTGCAGACCCCATGGTGGCAGCCGGTCTGCATCGTGGCAAAAACAAAGGGTACTTGTCCCGCTCGGGACCTCTTAAAGTCAGAATTTAAAGGGAGTGGATGTTCCAGGTCTGGCAGCAGACTTCAGCCCTCCTGCCTTCCTCGCTTCTCATTTTCAGGTGACAGAAAGGGGACATGACTTGGTCTGAGTCACATCGCCGGGCCCCTTCACTGGAAGAGAAACCTGGCAGGTGCCTCTATGCTGGGAGGTCGCACGTTCATTTAGGGCCTGTGGGAATAGATTACAGAGTCAGCGGAGCACAGTCTTAGCTCAATGGCTAGTGCAATGGTGGACTGTTAGCAATGGGCCTCGCAAGTTGGGCCAAGTATGTGGCTATGCTGGCCCCACCAAGTGCATACCCCAGGCTGTCCTCCCTCAACGCGGCACGTCCCAAGAGGACCGGCAGGGCTCCGTGGGCTTGTGGCAAGCGTGGGGTGCTGGCAGGGGGACTCAGCGTCCCGGAGGGAATTTACCCCCCAGCATTGCCAGGTAGATCGTAAGAACTCTTCCCTAATCCCGGTCAGGTTGGGAAGGGTGTCCAGGAAGATGGCAGTTGCTCCAAGGAGGTGATGGCCTTCAAGGTCGCTGGCCAGGAAGAGGTGGAGTGTGAGGCTCTGGAAGGTCAGCATGTCAGGCGGGTGCCCCAGCTCTCTCCATCAAAGTGTGGGCTGTTGTGGGGAGCTTGGGAGGGGTCTCCACCTGCACCTGCTAAAACCTGGGAGCCCAGCACTGCCACCCTCTGAGGGAAACTCTGAAGCATTTAGATTATCCACAGTCTGACCAAAGACCCACAGACATCAAAGCTGCCAAAGTGAGCCAGGCGCTCTGAACCTGCTTGCCTTGGGGGAGCCAGGCAGGTCAAAGCGATGCCTTTGGGGCACCCCTTCCTCCCTGGCTCCAGGGTCATCAAGCAGCTGGCCCAGGATTTCACACGGGCCCCTCGGCCATCACAGTGGACGCAAGAAGCATCCGCACACTGGCCCCCATCCTGTGAAAGTCCTGTCCGATCCCCAAGAAGAGCTCCTCAAATCTACAGTGGATATCAGCGAACTCGTCAAGAAGAGGTCAGGCAGGGCTCTCTGAACCCAGAGGACATCCTTGGCCCTCGCCCAGGACACTGCCAACGAGTTCCTGAGACATAAGCTGATGGCCCACCACGGCCTCCTTCCCCACAGAGGAAGCCAGCACCGATACACACACAAGGAACGGGAGGGGCTTGAAGAGGAATCCAGCCCCGCGTCTGGACACTGATGGAGAAGCAGATCGGAGACCAGGGTCCCAGAGTCCCATGAAACAGGAAGAAGCCGCACCGAACTCTGACCCTCCGTTGGTTTCCAGCCAATCAAAAGACAAGGAGGAAGGACCCCGGGTTTGTACACTCTTGCTCAACTGTCTTTGAAGAGCTCCAAGGCAAGTCCGAGCAGACCAGAAGGCACATGGGGCCCAAGGAGAGGGTGGGGAGCTTCCTGCCTGCACAGGCACCTCCATCAACTCCCAGCATTCCTGGTGGAGAGGAGCAGAGGTGTTCCGACAACAGAAATGAGCCAGCTTCAGCCTGCCCACGTGTCCTTCTGGGTGGGAGAGCAGGGGGACTTGCTTTACAAGGGGAGCCATGGAGCTCAGACGGGAAATCAGTTGTGTTTCCTCAGCCCTGAGCCATGAGTTCATGCCGTAAATCTACTGCGGTCTTTTGGAAGGTCCCCCTTCCCCGGGCTCATCGTTGTCCTCCATCTTATTCCAGATTGCCTTCCACAGGATGTTTCTTTAAAAAATCTCTCACCAAACCTCGGGAGGGGTGATGGGTTCCACCTCTGCCCCCTCCGGGTCTGGCTCTGAAGAGAGGCCTTCTTCTGAGGCATAGCTGGGGCACGCCAAGAATCGGCAGGAGGGGGGGGGTGCGGGGGGAGGCAGGGGGGCTATACGAAATAAAACAAGACCACAGAGCCTGCTTAAGAGTGGACTCTTCTTGGGGCGCCTGGGTGGCTCACTTGGTTAAGTGTCTGACTTCTGCTCAGGTCATGATCTCACAGTTCGTGGGTCTGAGCCCCGCGTCGGGCTCTGTGCTGACCGCTCAGAGCCTGGAGCCTGCTTCAGATTCTGTGTCTCCCTCTCTCTCTGACCCTCTCCTGCTCACGCTTCTCTCTCTCTCTCTCAGAAATAAATAAAAAACACTAAAAATTAAAAAAAAAAAAAAAAGAGTAGACTCTTCTCAAAGCTGTCTTTTCAGAGCGTGCCAGGGCCAGGCGTCCCTGCCTGGATCACGGAGACTGGTGTCCTCGTCGGGCTTGGCTTCTGGCCTGTGGCCTTTCTCAGCAGGGTCTGAGGGACAAAAGATACCTAACAATGATGCCAGTCCTGCATTTTCCCTTTTTCGGCCCTGAATTAAGCTGATGCCTGAATGGAGAGGAGTCAGCAAGAACAGGGCAGGCCCCCCTACAAGCGCTGCAGTGTATTGTTTTGCAACAAACAGCTTGTCTTCAGTAAACCCAGCCAGCCAGAGGATTAAAAACAGTGCCGGCTCCAGCAGGCTGGCCTGTGCCCCGTGCCCCGTGGCACCTTGCAGTCCCAGCATCCTGGGCCCCGGAGTTCTGGAATTATGGGGCAGTGGATTTGCCTTAGTGTTGCGTCAGGTCCCCCCTTCCTTCCTCTGCACCTGTATCAACCAAAATGCTTTTTTAAAAGAATTAAACTTTATTTTGTTTCCGTAAGTATTTTAGGATTAAGATTAGAGGTTCCAAAGGACACTGAAAGGGACCTGCCATATTCAATAAGAAAAGGAACTGAATTAAAAAGATAAACTCACAGGAGCGTGTGCACAGGAAGGTTTATAAGCCTGAGCTCTGGCACTCACGAAGATGGCATGAGCCAGATAGAGCCAAGGGACACCCAAGTTCTGGCTTAGCAATTTCAGGGTGAAGTGGGCCTGAGGGGACAGGTCAGCTCCTCTTAAAAAAATTTTTTTAATGTTTCATTTATTTCTGAGAGAGAGCGAGAGAGATAGCATGAGCAGGGGAGGGGCAGAGAGAGAGGGAGACACAGAATCTGAAACAGGTTCCAGGCTCTGAGCTAGCTGTCAGCACAGAGCCCGACGCGGGGCTTGAACCCAAGAACCATGAGATCATGACCCGGGCTGAAGTCGGATGCTTAACCGACTGAGCCACCCAGGTGCCCCTAAAATGTTAATTCTTGAGAGAGGCAGAGAGAGAGCCAGAGCATGAGCAGGGGAGTGGCAGAGAGAGAAAGGGAGACACAGAATTTGAAGCAAGCTCCAGGCTTTGAGCTGTCAGCACAGAGCCCGATGTGGGGCTCAAACTCACGAACCGTGAGATCATGACCCAAGCTGAAGTCGGATGCTTAACTGACTGAGCCACCCAGGTGCCCCGCCAGCTCCTTTTCTGACCTTTCAAGTGGGAGAACACCAGGTCAGGTGGGAAGATACCTGGTCCGGCACAGCCGGTGACACTAACCTAGAAACTGCATGCAGCTTGGGGTGGAATCAGGCTGGTGTCCCCTGCGGGATGGAGAGCCCCATGACCCCAAATACGACTCCATCCTCGAGGGCTCCTGATTTATAAGCTGAGAGCTGTGCTCCCAAATGCTCCCTAGTTACACAGAAGCGGCCTCTGCAAAATAAAACCCAGATGGGATTTTGCAAAGAGCTGGGGCACACGGCCTCCTTGGACCTGCATCAATACACTTGCACTCCTGGCTCCGTTCTGCGTATTCGCACTGGACAAGGACTTGCAGCCCAGAAAAAGAGCCCTTAGTTGAGCAATCGAAGTTAAGCCCCTTGGCTCCTTGGCTGAAAGGAATGATAGAAGGGTGTGCTG